CTGAGCACACACAGTAAGGCTCAAGAAGGCCCCCGGCCCTGGGTCAGGAGTCACAGGGAGAGGGGAGGGGGGCTCTGTGTCCCTGCCCCTCCCTCATATGAAGGAGCACACCCCTGAGAAGCAGGAAGAAAGTCTCAGCTATACTTGCCCCACCCAGACCCACGTCTCCATGTCCAGGGCGTCCAGGAGCCTGGGGAAGGGAGGGTGGCTGCAGGGGTGCTGGGTGGGTGAGGGGAGGGACTAAAGCTGCTCCGAGCACCTCCAGCCTCGATGCTGAGCTCCGGCCTCTGAGCGGCGCAGGTGGCAGGATGGGGGCAGAATGCATTTGTTTTGTGCTTTTAAAATTCCGAAGCCCAGTTTAGAAAACTATATCGGGTTTAGCTTTTTATTCTTTTCTAAATCTTTCTCGGGCTTGCGAGGCCCGTTACAGTCCCCCGGACTATCTCAGCCCACGGGTTCAGTTTCACCGTTCCCCCCTCCCTCTGGATGGCATTCGGAAACCACGCTGACTTATAACATTTCTATAAATAACAAAGACACGCCAAGGGTTCGCTTGCAAAATAACAAATAAAGGGGGGAAATTCGGAAAGAGCAAAAGTGCTGAAGCGCAGTGTTTTTGCAGCTCCTGGGGGAATGCCAGGGAAGACAGGCTGCTCTGGCCCACACAGATGGCACGCTGCTTGCAGCCAGGTGAGCGAGAGCGTCAGGAGAGAGCGCACTGCCTCCCCCTGCCATGGCAGGAGCAGGGCAGAAACAGTGGGTGTTTGTCGTGGCGTTAAAAGTGCCCGCACACATTCAGGAAGAGCAGCTCTGCCTGTTTTACCTGTGAGATCTTTTCACCTCCGGGAAATGACATGAAAATTACAGAATTTTATCTCAAGAGATGATTCTACCTTCATAATATTTGGGTAGTTCACTTCATAACCATAAATTATGTCTGTTCTCTGCATAGTGCTCTTCTGGGTCTCTGCTGGAGAGACGGCAAAATGTTTGCTGCGTGGGACTGAAATTGAGGCCGATGTGAGACCACATTGAATCAATAGCAGATGGAAAACAAGAGGCTGGAGGGGTAAGCCCAAGAGAAAAACCACGGGAAACGACGGAGGAAGGAAGGGAAGAGGAAACAGGACTCGAGTTAGTAAATTAGAGGCAATTTTTTTTTGCTTAGTTTCGTGTTTCAATGCTGGCTGCATCCTGCTTACTGAACAGATATGATGTATGTATATAAGAAATAAAACTGAGTTTGCAACCTGTAGATGCATTCATCTCATGACTTTGGTTTCTGGACTGAAGCCACTGGTGTTTATAATCTATGGCTGTGGAGAGGAACAGACGCTGTGAGAGGTATGACTCAGGCCCTGCCGGGTGCCTCCTGGTAAGAGAGAAGGCTGTGCAAGGCAATCGGTCAGGAGAGGAGACAGCCGGGGGCTGACCGACAGACGAAGACTTGCTGAAGAGGGATCTGGACTCTTCCGCAGCCCTCAGTGCCAGGCATTTCGGAGACTACACTATCTCATTTCATGCTCACGCCAATCCTGCAACTGAGCAGTATACTCTCCATTTTACAGATGAGGAGACTTTCCACGGACCAGGTTGCTCAAGGTCACAGAGTAGGAAGTATCTCAGGAAGTGGACCCACGGCACCTGACTGTGGGGCTCACGGTGCTCTTAGTCCCCATATTTGAGTCGAGGACCCTGAGGAAGCACGAAGCCACCAGAACATGGGGTTTATTTTTAGATCGATAGTCTATGATACGGATAAAGTAAAGGCCTACTGAATCTTTGCAGAAACAGGGGCCTGTGACTTCAGGGATTCGCAGAACCAGGAAATGATTGGAAAGACAAGAGAACTTCAGAAGGATGCAAACATAGGCTCATGAAGGGCTATTTTCCATGCCAGGGTTTCGGACAACACCTGAAGGAACCACACATTTGAATTGTCAATGTAAAGCTTCCTCACTCCCCAAGAGACGTACCTTGGTTGTGGTTTCTAGAATGATCTCTTTGTGCAGAAGTTCAACCACCATCTTCACGTGGCCTTCTTTCGAGGCCAGGTGCAAGCCGTTCAGCCCATTCTGTGAAGAGCAGAGAGGCAGGGAGGGTGTGGTTAGTGGGACTGTGCATCCTGTGTGTCCTGCTGTTCCAAGTCGCTGGAACAGGGCCCCTTCCTTGCGAAGGGCAGAAGCGGGGAGCTGGAGGGGCCCTGAGTGGTATCAGCTTAGACACACGCAGGGCCGGTCCAGCCTCTGCGAGCAGCTCTTCTGTAAGAGCATCAGATAACAGGGGAGGAAGGAAAGAGGGGATGATAACAAGACCACTGCCCCCTCGGTATGAATTGAGTGTGGGAAGCTCTCACAAAGCCACGGATGACCTTGAAATTCCAATCTTGCCCAGGCTTTAGGCATCCACTTAATTGAAACGGTATAACTTCAACCCCCTTGTTCATTCATTTTCACGGCCGCAACCAGGAAAAGGAAAGAGGCAATACCAGTGCACCCTAAACATGTAGAGCTAGATGTCCATTTAATAAAAATAATAAATTTTGAAAGAAGGTCATATGAAAACTAAATACCTCCAACCACCTACAATGTTGGTGGTGTTTAGTATGGTGGTAGTCTCAAAAAAAGAATTAGTATGAAAATAGCTTCTTTGCCACCTTGCCATTCAAATGTGACCAAAGCTGGCAGTTACATTTTAAGGAAAAGG